CACAGAGAGAACTTCTCCTGTCTGTGCTCCTGCACTCTGAAGATTCCAGTCACAGATGCTGGTGAAACATTAGGAAACAAAACTTCCAGAACATGGCCACACAGCCCGGAAGACCCACACCAGCCATCGTATGCTGGCCGTGAAAGCCTTCGACAATACACATAATTAACAGTCAGTATAGAAACAGAGAAGCTTAAAGCATTAAAATATACATATTAAAATACACACACATACACATTATAAGATGCATATGCTTTTCATTTTGTTTTGCACTCTCTCAGCACGTTGTGTGACATCGTGTATGAGTTCTCACATTTGCTTATTGCAAAATTCAAAGAAAATAATGCAATTTGTAGATAAGTGTAAGAAAAAGCTGCAAAATCTGAGAAGTAGGCCTGCTGGCATGTTATTCAGTTTGGCCATGGATTGGTAATTCTAACAGTGAGTTTTGGACTGGGATGACTGAGGCCACTTCCACACGCTACTTTGCTGTGCTCCCCTCCCATCCTTATGCCAGCAGAAAATCACACCACCCTACTAAATCTTGTCACCCTTACTCCACACCTGGAACAGGACTGTGCTGTGATGCTTTCCATACAGCTTTAACTCACAACCTGTTAAAGGCTGTGATTGGTGGCTCCCTTGGCTGAAGTTCCAGCCTTGCCCAATGTCATCCACTGCGTGAAAAGCTTCCTCTCGTTGGCACGTACAATGCTGTGGTTACTCTGTGCACTGCAACTGTAGTACTATCAATAACCCTTGTAAGTATGGGTTGGCTCTATGTAGCAGTCACCTGCAAGTGTGCAGCCAAGTTGCAGCCGCTGATAAGTATGAGTTTAACTTAGGACAAATTAAATTATATCTTCTACTGATAATGAATTTAAAACATTTAACATTATGAATTTGAAAAAAAGATGAGTAAAATGACAATAATAACGTGGGTTTATCCTTGGCTGGAAGATATAAGAGAAAATATCTCTTTTACCCAAATCTGTTCTAACTTGGTTTTGCTTTTCTTTTGCCAATAGATACCAATCACCTGAGGCAAGATTATGTACTCGTATTCAGTCTAGCAAAGATAAAACAGAAAAACTGGAAAAAAGCTTATCTTGGACCAGAAGGCTGGTCCTCTTACAGAGTCACATGTGCTTACTCATTTATGGAAGAAGACACTGTTTTGGACTCACTCACTTCCTGCTACTGAAACTTCCTATAGAATTTCATTTGACTTTTCACCGCTACATGCAGTCTCTGATTTCAGAGCTATAAATATTTTTCTAGTAATGAACATAATACCAGTGGATTGAAAAAGTAATAAGTGTAGAAGATTATATGGGGTTGTAGGAGTTTCCCCAAGAGCAGAATAACCAATCACGCCCCATTATTAGCAATGGCAACTACTGTATATGTGACTCATCATAGCTCAAAAGTGGAATCCTGATAATTTTTAAAGACAGTCCCTTTTAATGTGATGTGGCAGAAGCCAAAATTAGCCTTTGTTGAATCACACTGGACTTTATTCACCCTGCAGTACAAACAGAAAAAAGTTCTTCCAAGAATTTTGCTTGTCAATTTTTTTGCCCACTTTCACTAATTTAAGTAATGGGAAAGGACCAGCAGCAAGCAGTGATTACAGGAAGATGGGGTCAGGAGGTGAAGTTAAACTCTCTTACTCTTTTCAGTGTTCTTGATTTTGGATAGTGAAAAAGATAGTACTGATTTGATTAAACAACATCAGGGAGGTGAAGGGTCAGTATCTAAGGGGAAGTAGAGATAGAGGGAAGGATAATGGTGGTCATGAACAGGGGGAAATATGATGAGAGATGCCAGAGGAAGAGACTGGAAATTCACTGCCAATCTGTTACTGGCTCTCCAATGTCAATTCAAGACCCAGGCAGCTGAACTACTGGGAACTGGCTGATGGTTTTGAATGCCAAGTCTGGCTGCCATATTCATGATTTAATAATGGGCGAGAGGGCAGACCTGGTATGTGTTACTGAGACCTGGCTGGACAAAGAAGGGAGAATCTTATTCAGTGAGATCTGTCCAGCCAGGTGTTATGTCTTGCATCAGTCCTGATCTTGGGGCAGAGGAAGCGGTATATGGCAATTGTGCACCGTTGCAAGGAGCACTCTTCTTCAAGTGGCTAGTTATAAGGCCATATTCGTGAAGATGGGTTAAAGAGACAAGCTTGAGGGGCTGCTATTCTACAGTCCTCCCAACTGCCTGGGAACAATCTTCCCTGAGCTGCTTGATCTCATTGTAGGAGTGGTTACAATGGATTCACCCAGATTCTTATTTTCCATGTCTAGTAAAATTCAAGTCTACACCTGAAATCTGAAGGATTGCATCAGAGGCCTCAGAGTGCAGGATGGTGAGGGTGACTGTGGCTGGGACAGCTACAGCTTTGCACCACACTGCTGGGCTGGACTGGGCTTCACACTGTGCTGTGCTGTGGCTCTGGGGCTGCTTTTTGCAGCCCAAGGGCACAGCACACAAAAAAGCCCCTTTGCATGAAGCCCAGGAGCACAGCGCAAAGGGGCTTCTTGGTGCACTACAGCTCTGGGGCTACAAGAAGTAGCCCCAGAGCCACAGTGCAGCATGAAGCTCAGTCTGAACCC